GAATCTCAGAAATAACGTAATCGGATCAAGAAGTACTAGATAAACACGAACGAATGTACTGTATTTGGAATTCGAAATCAAGCGTTCGACAAGTACAAAGGAATCATTAGTTCATTCAAACACCACAAACACCTCATATGAAATATATTCACGAAGGATTTCACTATAGTAAACGGTCATTAGATAAACAATATTTTTGAGTAGCCTATACTTCTGTTTAGCAAGCAAGTATATTGAGCAGTATTTTGTTGTGAACTTCGACCTTTGAAAGCGAAGGAAGTTTTATACGTTACTAGTGCTTGACATGGCTCAAAATCGTTTGCAATGGCGCAGGTGCATCCACTCACTGTGTTCTCCCAAATTCTAATCTTCTGAATTCTTCATGTCTCTTTTTTCCTCTTTCCAAATTTATTTCACTGGATTATACTCTTTAAATAACATCTACAAACTCTAATCTTCCCGATTACTGCTTATACTCTTATTACCTCTACCACTACAGGATTTGAATCGACAAGTGCATCTCTGTGCTAATGTGGTATGGCAACTCTAACTGATGTACGTACGTAGGAAGTTCTACGTTGTTACTGACTGACTGAGTGCTTGATTAACTATTCTCCTGAGTCATTTATTGAGCATTTTCGGGAAACCGAAGTGACCACCCCTGGAGTTATGTGTGAGGTATCGGGTGAAAATGGCAAATCGATTGATGAGATGGTGAATGTTCAGTGACTGAGATGTTCAGGACAAGTGTTACGCATAACGAAGCATCGTCTACTTCAATTAGGGATATATCAGAAGATGCTGGTAGGAATTAATGTCAGATCCATCATTGGACCATGATGTCATTTACTGTTGCAAGATTTACTTGCTCATTAATATAGATCGGCGTAAGACTAAGATATCCCCAAACTGCCAACTTTGGGGAAATTCTGGCCCATTTGGGGAAATGAGATGCAAACCCCGAAATTTCACCAAAGTTGGCAGCTTGGGTCGCTATGAGTTTTTAATTTATTTCATTAGTAAATAGGAGTTTATCACTGACCATTACACGTCAAGGATTTACTGCATGGTCAAGAAAGTGAAATGATTTTTTTCAGACGAACAAATAGACAACTCAGTAGTCATTCCTTAACAATATAACCAATGAAACGGCAATATTGTAGATTTACGATTTCCTCTTTATGAAACACCTAGAGTTAATACGTCACTCAAGTATGTATCTGCAAATATCAACCTATTAAGCACCAAGTCAGTGAACCACTAAAACAATGGAGCAAAATTATTTCTAATACTAACCGAGAAATATATATGTGGGAATGAAGGAAAAGTCTTTTGGCTTGGCTGGAATATGATGTATAAAGGAAGCAGGGGGAAAGATAATATGGTTCCACACAAAATTATAGGGGACACATGAGTCTACAGAATGCAAAACTGTTCCTCCATTGTATACTTATTTGAAGATCAGATATGTTGCCTTAGCTGCAAGTGATGATCACTGACTGTTAGTTTTACAAATAATGCAGAATCCCAAAAGTCTGAAAACCTCACATGGCGATTAACGTTTAGAGCGGATCATTAGAATTTCATATTTAGATGGTGGTGATATTTAGCTCGGGGTGATGATTTGGGTGAAGTTTTCTTCTTTGAGTTGGATGCTTTGGTTGTGGAGCTTTCAGTTCTCCTCTGAACAACACCGTCAGTACAAACTTCAGGTAGAAAGTAAGTATTCGAATCCCTCCATAAATGACTCATAGCTTGTCCTGTTGACTTCGGTCTTGATTGGTTACTGCTGACATTTATCCTGTCATTATCTAATTCTTTATTTTGACTGTACTCCACATTAATTTGATTCTTGGTCTTATATTTGACCATGGTTTTTCCGACTGGTTGGTAGATTTGATCGGTTTCAATTTGTTCGTTGATTGACTTGAGTACGAAAATTCTAAAAATCCCTTGGTGCATTTAGAATCCCCTTAACACTTTCCCGGTCGAGTGTGTATCCACGTGCATCGATATAAGTGACGATATACCATGGCGTTTGACCGCTAATTGGTGTTCGCCTATACGAAGATAAAGGAGACACCCACTTTTTCCGATGCAGTGTTCTTCGCAGTTGAAACAAATTATTCTATAGATAATTTTTGGGATTTTCCTCTTTTGTTATTTCGTCCATTCGTTTATACAGGATTGATTTTAGTACACCTAATGATTGCTGACGCGAACTACAGGATCAACAAATACTAACACTTCATGGATGACCAAAAGACAAAGCTAGAGAGGATACTCACATTAAAACAATTGGTAATCTTGACAACAGCGATCCACAACACAGAAAACAAAGAAAAAACACCCTTACGAAATAATTAATCAAGATTCCAAAACCACCTATGGAATAAAATATAAAAAACTGCCTGGTCAACCCATCAAAGCAACCTCTGACAAACATAGAACACCTGCTCCGAAAAGGATAAAACTACAATAAAAATTACGCCTCAAAACTTATCACACAAGTTGAAATCATGAGTCAGTTGAAGCTAGATCACCATGGAAAACCTGGAAGCACTGGACGGCCGTTTCATCCTAGTATGGGACTCCTCAGCAATGCGCATCGACGACCCCGCACCCCGTGGGATTCGAACCCAGGACCTATTGGTTTCGCGCGCGAGCACTTAACCATTAGACCACTGAGCCGGCATCCAACGGTGTTAATGTCTAACTTCAACCAATCTACTTATTAGCTGCATCATAGGTATCAATCAAAAATGCCGAAATAAACGAAGAAACTCAAGAGGAAATAAGACAAGTCGTAGTACCGCTAACTCAATCGAAGAAAGACGACGCTTACTGACCTCACGAGAACAAAGAGCCTTAAAGAAAGTCGGAACTAGAAAAATATTGTCATAGTTCCAGTGGACAACGGATGAACTAAAGTAACTTTGGACAAGGTAGAATATATCAGGAAAGCGGAGGAACTAATTGGAGACAAAAGCGTATACAAACCGATGGATACAAATCGAATCAAAAGGTTATACAACCAAATCTCAGGGACTTGAGACAAGCTTGTCGAAGCAGGACAAATATCAGACGGATGATGAAATCCAACGGGCAAGTACTCCCTCGGTTCTAGGACAGGCCCAATCACTGGATAAAGTTAATGAGATTCAAACCAGAAGCTACGAAGTGATATGATTATTCACCACAATCAAAGAAAGTTTAGCTAAGGAAACCCTGTCCCTGCTCAACAATTTTCCATATAGAATGAGATAGCTGCGAATTGACCTAGTGATTGAAACAATTGAAAGAAATCACATTTGATCACCATGTTCTGGAGTTACTTGATTCGGCCTCAATAAACTTTATTCAGTAATCCAGGCTAAGAGTAAATCAAGTATATTTGGCTGAAAAACTTTCAGATTCTATAGAAAATGAGTCATTTTACTAGTGTTAGTATCGTGTTGTGAGTTCTAAAGAAGCTTTAGTATTAAAATACAATCCCTGAGAGCTCCTTCGAAGTTAGGTCCTCGCAAGCCTTCCGACATAGACTGAATAGGATTACTGGACATTATACAGCTCTAAAACTTCCGGAAACCTCTTTAGAGTAACAAACCTTATCTAAAAAGCAAAAATTATAGCTTTAAAAGCCAATAGTAACACGTGCTATCTTCAGAAAAGTATAGTGTAGCACCGTTTGGAAGTGAGGTGTTTAACAACAATAACATGAACTTCAAGACATAAAATTAAAAACTTTATCCAAAAACATTCTTTGACATGCTCTTCATATCCACTGAACAGACGAAATTCTTTATAAGATAATTTATTTTTATATAAAAAATGCTTTGTGAATTTAATATAACTCCAATGGCCACAACAGATTTCAGCTGTTAGTACAGGTGGGTTTTTATGAAAGTATGATCTCCCAACTATTAAATGTGAGCGCTTCGCCACTTTTCTTCTCCATCAACTAGAATGGATGGTTGCTCAAATCATCTATCCTGACGAATGAATGCACTCACTAGTGTTTTGGTCTTTTCCCTAAGATGTACCACGAAATCTTCCTAACGCATCCACATGATTTATCCACCTTTCGTTCTTGAGCGCATTTGTTTGGTTGGAGCGTTTACATTTCAAACAAATATTGTCACCGTGACAATTGTGGTGTGGATATTCGAACCGATGTACGTACCTACGAAGTTCTACGTTGTTGACTGAGTGGTAAGTCCTGTTTATCATTAGGTTTTCTCCTGCAGTCGCATAAAACGCTTATCTAAAATGTATTCAATTCTAGTCTACTGATAGCAGAAACCTCATACTGAAGTTTTATTTACAACGCATAACAACCAAGCTGCAATGTACCACGCCACTGATCATTAGCCAGAGCATTAATTGCTTTCAAAATGTTTATCAGATCAGAACTTCAAGTGTGTACTCACAGCGTTTTGTTTCGATCAGTGGTTTTTTATCTCCAGGCTTAGTGGTCGAAAATCTGTGACTACAACATTTTCGAACCAGGACAGCGTTTGGTGGAAAATGAGAGCAGAATCTCAGACAAAATATAAGTAAAAGTATCATGGGATATATTAAACCTAAGACTCATTGTCATATTGTTAGTAGGCGTTTTAAAGCAACATTATTATGTACTGTTTAATATCTAGTATACGAAACACAAAAGCCCTACCTAACGTTCCTGTAAGTTCATTTTAATATAGTAATAAAAATGACATTTAATAAACTGGTCCGAATTGTTATATTTTTAATTTAATTCACTGCTGTAGGTTACTATCTTTAACATAGCACTGGATGTCATTCATCACAAGTTTGTCAAAATATGGGCGACTCATACCAATCTATGATAACTGCACTTCGGTGATAGTGATTAAACATAATGACTTTTTTACGTTAAGGATACAAGTCCAGACATGATAGGTGACTTGTGAAGAATCGATTACTTTTGTAAGATGAAATAGAAAAACATGAATTGTTCGAAACAAAAACGAAGTCCTCCAGTAAATAATTTGCAATTTTACTATAAATACATGGATTATATCACACTATAAGGGATGAAAGATCACAGTCTGAAACATGGGGGTTTATAAATATATACCTAAGGGAATGATAACACAATAAGGGATAATTCAGTGTTTTTGTTGAACAAGAGTTGAGAGATACTTCACATGAGCCATCACTTCTGCCTAAAGAAATATAATTAGAGATAATGAGTTAAGAATAAACTGGAAATCAATGTAGTACAAATAATGCGATTAAAAAGATAAATAATTTACTAAGTGAAGCGGTATTTGTACGTATATAACCGTTACATACCTAATTGATGTGTACATTCAGAGCGATCTTAAGTTGACAACTTCAGTATCAAATTGAACATTGATTATTGTACTTACCATAGAATTTCTTTGCATCAAAGTCACACTTTAACTGCCTATGAATTAGCATTTATTCATTACGATACAACATATACTGTGGTGTGAGATACTTATATCCACATACGTAGTATATAACGATAGTCAGGAATGGAATGTATTTCAGTAGAAGATCGAGAAGAAAAGAACGGGAACGGAAAGCAATTGGTATGAAAATGCAGAAACAGTGAAATCTAAGACGATGGGCTGATATTTGTAAAAGAAACAGTCAGGTTTGAGACATTTGATTGATATTTTGCAAATTAACTATTTACTGTATTGTTCTCAGATTTTCGTAAGACGTTCTGTCATTTTACGCTCAAATACATTTGATTGTCCCCACTCGTGTTCTTGTTCACCACAATACATCGTTACATACACTAACAATTATTTTTGAAAAACTGCTGACATATGTACTAATTTCACAATTCTTAATCACCAAGAGTATATACACTGGACTTTATTTATTAAGAGTCACTACGCCCTGTATCACGAAAATTGAAATTCATCTGATGAAAAAGCAAGACTTGTCAAACCCAAAGAAATCAAATAATCTACCCATAGTTAAGTGGAACTTTTTGTTACCGAAGTGTTAATCTAAGCTGACAATTGAAAAAGTCACCTTAGTCAAGTTTAAACTCCCGTTAAAGTCCTTCAAGGGTTACAACTAGTTTCAAGCGCGGGTGAGAGAGGCCTAGGTATAGAGTTAACAACCACATCCCACAATGACAATAAAATTCTCCCAACCCCCCTCTCCTGACAACTAGAGCGACAATTAATGCAGCTACATGGAATGTCCAGACTGTGTAGGAATCCAAGAGGGTTACTCAAAAGGCGGCAGAAATTAGAAGATACAACTTCGCTCTGCTTGGAATAAGTGAAACACATTGAATAGAAGCTGGAAACGAAAGACTAGGTTGGGCAGAATCGTTATTCTGCACTGATCATGAAGAAAATGTACCCCACCACACACAAGGAGTTACAATAACCATCTTCAAAGAAGAACGAAAAGTACTTATACGGTGGGAATGTTATGGTTAATTATTCATCAAAGGGTTTCTCTAAATAAGTTAGCTACAACGTAGGACCAAGCACATATATGCATCGGTCGAAGTTGCCATACCTCATTAGCACAACAAGATGATCACCAAACGCATAGAAGTAGTTACTTTAATGGTAGTATATAAAAAAGCATTTCATATAAGGATCTGATACACGGAGAAAGAATTAGTTCGTAGAAAGAAAGGTATAAAGCAATTTTAATCTCACGGTTTAAGGGAGGCAGAGAGTGTATACACCTACGCCATTATGATCGGTTCTGAGTCATGTCACCCAGAGTCTCCAACCAGTGGTTACGAGTCACGCGGACCCCAACCAAATAGTCTGCATCTATCAACATGGCTCAGACTAGAAGTTAGTGGCTTAAAGCATTGATACCATGTTTTGCTTTGGCCATAGATCTACTGATGGAAATAACATTCTCGTCTACTAAGTTCTCGGGTATTGATCTCCTTCCAGGAGGTTCACTTATCGACTTAGCATACGCAGATGACATAGTCCTGTTTAGTGAAGACGCTGATAAAATTCAGTCTTTTGATAGCACTGAGCAACAATGCCAGTATGTTTGGGATGCGTTTTCCCCCTCTAAATGCAAGTTGTTGCTTCACGACTGGCGTGCGTCAACACCTGAACTTAGGATAGGGAGTGAAGTAGTCGAACGCGTCGACAACTTCACTTATCTAGGAAGTTTGATCAGCCCTAATGGGTTGGTGTCTGACGAAATCTCAGCACGGATTCGAAAAGCTCGCTTGGCTTTTGCCAACTTACGTCACCTATGACGAAGGCGGAATATCCGTCTATCAATTAACGGACGAGTATACTACGCAGCAGTTCGCTCTGTTCTTCTTTACGGCTGCGAAACGTGACCATTAAGAGTAGAAGATACTCGTCAGCTACTAATATTTGACCACAGATGGCTTAGAAATATTACTTGCATCTGTTGGGATCACCGGGTAAGTAATAGTGAGGTTAGACGTAGGGTATTAGGGAATGATGGTAAATCAGTTGATGAGATTGTGAATCTTTGTCAACGGAGATGGTTGGGCCACGTGTTACGTATGCCTGAACACCGATTACCACGACGTGCAATGCTAACCGGTGTTCTGGATGGTTGGAAGAAAGTTGGGGGTGGCCAAACCAAAAAGTGGCATCAGTCCATGAAGTTACTAGCTTCTAGTCTGAGCCATGTTGGTAGATGCAGACTACTTGGTTGGGGTTCGCGTGACTATCGTAACCACTGGTTGGAGACTCTGGGTGAGATGGCTCAGAGTCGATCACAATGGCGTCGGTGTATACACTCTCTGTCTTCCCTTAAACTAAGAGATTAAAATTGCTTCATATCTTTCTTCCTACGAACAAATTCTTTCTCCCTGTACTATATCCTTATGGCAATCTTTCTTTTATATATAACCACCTCTGAATTAACTGCTTTTATGAATCCGATTTCCATCTTGTTGCGTTAATGAGGTATGGCAACTTGGACCGATGCACATATATATGCCTGGTCCTACGTTATAGCTGACTGACTTTCTTCCAACCATCTCCAACAATAGTCAGCAGTGCGCTTCGTGATAGTCAGTGTTCAGGCATACGTAACACGGCCCAACCATCTCCGTCGACAAAGATTCACAATCTCATCAACTGATTTACCATCATTCCCTAATACCCTACGTCTAACCTCACTATTACTTACCCGGTGATCCCAACAGATGCAAGTAATATTTCTAAGCCATCTGTGGTCAAATATTAGTAGCTGACGAGTATCTTCTACTCTTAATGGTCACGTTTCGCAGCCGTAAAGAAGAACAGAGCGAACTGCTGCGCAGTATACTCGTCCGTTAATTGATAGACGGATATTCCGCCTTCGTCATAGGTGACGTAAGTTGGCAAAAGCCAAGCGAGCTTTTCGAATCCGTGCTGAGATTTCGTCAGACACCAACCCATTAGGGCTGATCAAACTTCCTAGATAAGTGAAGTTGTCGACGCGTTCGACTACTTCACTCCCTATCCTTAGTTCAGGTGTTGACGCACGCCAGTCGTGAAGCAACAACTTGCATTTAGAGGGGGAAAAACGCATCCCAAACATACTGGCATTGTTGCTCAGTGCTATCAAAAGACTGAATTTTATTAGCGTCTTCACTAAACAGGACTATGTCATCTGCGTATGCTAAGTCCATAAGTGAACATCCTGGTAGGAGATCAATGAACGAAAATTCAGTCGACGAGAGCGTTATTTCTATCAGTAGGTCTATTACGAAGTTAAACAAAAATGGAGAAAGTGGACAGCCTTGACGGACACCACTTGAGGTTGCAAAAGCAGATGACGGTTCGCCACAAGCTGTCACTCGATTAATAGTGTTCGAGTAAAGAGCCTTCACAAAGTTTATGTACTTCTGAGGTACGTCTTTTAATGACAGACACTGCCACAGAACCTCTCGGTCTACAGAGTCAAATGCTGCTTTTAGGTTGAGAAAGACCACGGTTGTCGGACGCTGATAAGCACGTCTGTGTTCTATAACCTGACGAATGGTGAATATGTGGTCGATGCAGACACGACCATGTATCACTTACACTTGAGTTATTAATTCTAGTTTCTTTTATTGCTATGAAGGGCTTTCTTGTGTTCCCTACAGCTACTGCCTTTTCCATCTCTTTTGTTTTCGTTGCCCACCACTGATCACAGTCGTTCCTTAGACTTTTGGTCAATCTAGACTTTATTTGTTTTCGCTCTTCATAGAGTTCAGAGGCTGGTGCGATGAGCTTACGAGAATCTACCAGTAATAAAGTTAGAAGAAATCCATTGGTTTTTGTAACTCTTTGGTTTAAATCATTAGCAGATGTCACTGCTGTTTGTAACTTTCCAAGCAACAACTGGGTGAGCCTCGTTTTCGGAACTGCCTAAGTGTGAACTCAGTTGTTCCTGGAATTTACTTTTGGCTTTCTCGTCACTCAATTACATCCTAATGTGTCTTCTTAATAAGGTTTTTGTGAGTCCACTGACGCGCAAGCAAATGCGTACACGTATTAGAGCATGATCGGAGTCCAAGCAGGTATTCTAGAACGAGCGACAGTCTCCTGTTGAGCTTCTCTAACGAGAACTGATGGCAATATAATCTATTTGAGTCCATCGTTGGTTTGGTGCACGGGGTCGCCATGTTAGACGATGTCTCAACTTATGCTTAAAATTAGTGATGGCTAAAAATAAAAAAATGTCTGAGTACAGTTGGAGAAGACAATCATCATTATCTGTTTGTTGAGCCGAAATACTAAAATACCCACCTGAATGTCTTTCTGTTTGGTTTAGGCTACCTACCTATGCATTAAGGTCACCTGCTACAAGTACTATGCCTAAGCGTCTAGCTTTATGAAGAAGTTCAGAAAGCTTTCTGTAAAAGTCATCTTTTACCTCATCTGGGTTGCAGTCAGTGGGGTCGTGGACAGAAAAAACGAAAAGGTAACGACGTGTGTTCCTATCCTTTCGAGTTCACACGGAGCCATTTAACCGTACAGCATATAGGCGACTGTTAACAGGGATCCATTCTAACACTGCTTGTTCTACCCTCGTACTTAATGCCATGCCTACACCTGCCAGTCCACGAGAACCAGCCATCGGAACGCCAGAGACACGGAGGGTGCATCTCGTCGGCTCTCCGTTTTGCCGAGGTGAGGTCAAGAGAATGACAACACTAGGGTCCTGTATGCGTGTTTTGGAGACA